GCCACTATTGGGAGGTACAGGGCCCAGGAAGAAGTCATCAAGACTGTGCCCTTATAGGAGGTATTGAAATCCTCTGTGTGTCCCTCTCATTGTTTTCTAGCTGCGGTAAGTGAGCGAACATCCTCTACCATGCACTCTCACCGTGAGGTATTGCTATCATGAGGGGCAAAGCAATAAGGTCAAGTGCTTATGGACGATACCTCCGAAACCGTAGCCAAAATAAACGTTTCCTTCTTTTAAATTGATTGTTTCAACTATTTTGTTCTCATATTTTTAAATACTTGGTCCCCAGTTGGCGGAACTGTTTAGGAAGGATTAGGAGGTGTGGCCTTGTCGGAGGAGGTGTGTCACTACAAACAGGCTTTGAGACGTCAATGATGTGAGCTCTTAGCTTCTCCTATACCATGTCTTCACTCCACCGTCACGGACTCTAACCTTCTGGAATCATAGCCCGATCAAATGCTACGGTGGTGTGACTAGAAATGGCCTCCATAGACTCATGTGCTTGAATGCTTGGCCCATAGGGATTGGCACTATTAGGAGGCATGGCCTTGCTGGCAGAAGTGTGTCACTGTGGAGTCAGGGCTTTGAGGCCTCATATGCTCAATCTATGCCCAGTGTGACACCGGGCAGCTTCTGCTGCTTTTGGGTCAAGAGGTAGAACTCCGAGGTCCCTCTCTAGGATCATGTCTGCCCACATACAAACATGTTTCTCATCATGATGACAATGGACTGAAACTGTAAGCCAGCCCCAATTAAATGTTTTCCTTTACAAGAGTTGCCATGGTTGTGTCCCTTCATAGCAATACAAACCCTAAGAGAAACGCTTTCTTTTATAAGTCGCCTTGCTCATGGTATTTTATCACAGCAATAGATAAGTAACTAATATTTTAAAAGAAATAGACGGAGGACATATTAGTCGTGTGGAGAAGCCTCGAGGAGGCTCTGGTGGTGTGGCAGCTCTCACAGTGAGGGTCTGTGTGCATCTCTGTGCTCACAGCGCCCAGAGCCCCAACAGGAAGGAGCTTGTCAGCGGTGGCGAAGCCCACCTGCCAGATCAGTATCTGTCTTTCAACAGGCTTACAGATAGCCGGGCCACACAGCGACCTCTGTGAAGGATCAAATGCAGACAGCGAAGGCGTGCGCCTTGTTGCTCTCAACAGGCTCTCCTTGCGCTGGGCCCAGCTGCTGTGTCTCTCTAGAGCGGACCCAGATGCTCGCGGGATAGAGCAGTGGAAAGAAGCCACGTCCTGGGAATCATTCTGTACCTTTTGCACGCGCCTACTAGATCTTTAGAAGTAATAACAATGCAAGAAATAGTGAGGTCCTTTCTGCTCTTCTCCGTTCAAACGCTCAACATAAGGAAGTACATACTGTTCTTTCTATGGCCGGAGTAGAAGGCAGAAAAGATGAGAGAAGGTTTGGATTGTAAGCACTGCAGAAGTTTGAATTGTAAAGAATGATTTCTCAACTTCTTACATTCTCGTAGGACAGAGTGCCCTGGCTTCCCCTCACCTTCTTTCAGGGTTGAAACTTCTTGGGGACCCAGGCCACCATGTTCGAAGTTTAGGTGCACCAGCGACAGCCAGCTGCAAATGCCACTTCCCGAGGGCTGTTGCTGCGTGTGGGAAGTCACAGCCATAGCCACCTGCTCCTGATCCGTGTGCTTCTCCCCAGCCATGCTAGACTCATGAGGCCATCCAGCTGCTGGGCTGGAAGAGCACATACTTGGCAGGGTTTCTTCCCAGTCCTCACACGGGGAGCCCTTCTGGCCCCGCCTTGACGGCCCCATGCCAAGATGGCCAGACAGTTCCCCTGGCCTTGGCACCTGCTGCCTTCCTGTGTGTTCTGCTTATTTCTCTGGTGTGAACATGTGAGGTTCCCCAAAGCAGACTAGGGACCTCAACAAGGCACGGGGCCTTCAAGAGGAAGAGAAATCCCACAGTCTCACAGCGAGGCTGGGGCTCAGCCAGTGAGCATGGCCGAGGCCAGTAGACCAGAAGAAACGGAATGCCCCTCGTCAGCCCGCCCCAGCCCCACCCCTCAAAGATCAGCAGAGGCCCACCAGCCCTTGGGCCACCTCTGCTGTCCACAGAAGGACAGGGCAACTGTCAGTACTTGGCACCGAAAAAGCTGAGACTCCACTGGTAAACTCTGGACGACTTGCTAAAAATTGAAAGCTGAAAGCCAGTCTGTTATACTCTCTCTGAGACTGTTGAGGCCTGTTTCCAGCTTTGGGGTTTTGTGCCTCACCAGGTGTTTCACAGCTACTTCACAAGTGAGAACCGAGAGGCTGTCGGGAGACTGGGACCGAGAGAGGAGTGAAGTCAGACAACTAAATGCTTTAACTGAAACTTTAAATAAACACTGACTTAAAAAAAAATGTTTAAACTTGAGCAGGAGGAGTACATACTCGTATATGCCTGAGGGTGTGTTGGGGGGAGGGGAGGCATATGTGAGCCACAGTGAGAAACCAGAGGACAACTTTGTTGAGTCACTTGTCTCCTTCCATTGTGTGGGTCCTGGGGTTGAAAATCAGACAAGTGCCTCTGCCAACTGAGCCATCTCATGGGCCCCAAAACACACTGCCTTTGTTTTTTTGTTGTCTGTTTGTTTTCTGGATCGCTGTTACTGTGGTTTGGAGTAACAAGTGAGTTTTTCTTTCCTACATATTTGTGTTTATAATTATTTCATAGCTTTTATAATTGTTCTATTACTCTAATCATTCACAAGGATTTTTTTAAGGGGAGAGTGTGAATGCAGTCCCCACTACCACAAAATGTGTAGTCAAGTATCTGCCACTGGGGGAACTCCAAGAGCCAGCATATCTGGAGGGCAGGGAACGAGCTTCCCCCTGGGAGAACCACCTTTGTGATCTTGGTGATACATGATACAGATGTATACACAGTGAGGCTTTTGTTTCATGTATATGAGTGCTCTGTCTGCATGTACATCTGCAGGCTAGCAGAGGGCATTTGAGGGTGGAGATGGTTGTGAGCCACCATGCGGGTGCTGGGAATTGAACTCAGGACCTCTGGAAGAGCAGCCAGTGCTCTTAACCACTGAGCCATCTCTCCAGCCCCTAGGGAGTCATTTTTATGATGAGCAAAAACAGCATTGGTGCCTGCTTTGTGCGTGAGACATCAGAGGCAACTGTATGGGGATCCCACTCTTGGCGCACTATGGCCACCCTATAATAGGCTCTCTGCTTTTGCCACCTATGACACCGTTTCCAGCAGCTCAGACTTTGCTTGTGTATTATTCACCACTCATTACTTCATACATGGTGTCTGGCGACCCAAAAGCCATTGGGCTGAAATGTGTCTTCAGACACTCAGTGGAAAACTTCTGCTGTGCACTTGTGAGACTTCTCCTTCTTGTCTCTGCCCCCTGTGTCACAAGCGTCGCTTCTGTGCTCTTGTTCTGCTTTATTCTGACAGGGTCGCATTAGCCCAGACTGCCCTGAACCCTCAAGTACCTGATCCTCCCGCCTCCACCCGCCAAGTGCTAGGATTACAGACCTCTGCTCCCATGAGGAGTATCTTGCCTTTGTTTTGTTTTTGTTTTTTCTACTTCCCATTATTTTTATAAAAGACTAAGGAGTGAGATCCCATCAAAGAGTTATTCTGAAACATCTTTAAAATGAGCCAACCCATCATTGGAGTACAGAGTTTGCTAATGGCTGAGTGTCTTATCTTCAACGTAGACAGGTAGACCTGGCCTCCCCACTCCCGGGGGGCCCCTGGGCCCCATGTGTTTACCTCCCATGTTGGTTTGACACTTTCAGAAATCTGTGGTTGTGGTTTGATAACAGACCTTCTTAAGTCTCTGAAGTAAATGATTCACAGGCATTGCTCTAGTGACTCAGTCACAGCCAAGTCCCAGAATGGTGGCTGTTTGGAGCCTGATATACCAAAATCTGGATTCTGAATATTAAAAGTATGTAAAGAATGTCACTACAAGTTCAAATGGAGCACGGCAAACTAAACACGAGTGTTCTCTTTGAAAAGCAAGGGTTTATCAAAACCCCCTCACCTGTCCTAGCAGCCTGTGTGTGTCTCCTGTCTTTCTGCTGGAGGACCTCAGGAGCCCGGTGTGAAGGCCAGCCTGCCTGCGTGGGCCCTGAGCTTAGAGGCCACAGAGTGATGTACTAGTGGGTGTTAAGAAACACTGGAACGCTCTGCCCAGGAAAATCACCTCCCTGTGTTTTTTGTTATTTTAGGTTTCTTGTTCTTTTGTTGTTGGTGGTGGTGAATTGTTGCTGCTGTGGATGAAGATGGGGAAGGCAGCATTTAGTTTTGTGTCCTTAGAAAAGGACCCTGACATCATGCTGTTAGCGGCTTCAGGGAGAGTGCCTGGGGTGCCCTCTTGAGGTCTCTGGATGCCAGGACTTGAAGAGAGCTGCACACATGGCTAGACTTCTTGTTACTATCCTACTTCCCTGGGGATGGAGGGGAGAACCTGTGGGGCCTAAAGGAATGTCTGTTTCCTGATGGCAGGGATGAGGGGAAACGGGAAAGGTAAAAGGAGGGGTCTTGTGTTATTCTACCCACCATAGCACTTTTTTTCAAGGTGAGCTCGTTTTAACTAGATCAAGGCTGATCCCAGTCCATTCTGAGGTGGGATTGCCCCTGAACTGATCAACAATCAGCTGTTTTCAGGAAAGCAAATGTGTAGTTCACTTTAGACACAGAACAGAGATTGGGAGCACTTTTGTTTCAGTCTAGAACAGCTTCAGACAAGGTATCAGCAGAAATGCCAGCTTGAGGTTCCCCAGGCTCTTAGTAACCTCAGTCCCTTTGATGGACATTCCCAGTGTTCTGTATGGAACCTAGATATGACACCCAACTGCTATCCAACCTGTTCCCTAAGTCCCTGCCAGCTCCCAGTGTCAGGAAGACTCTGGGCCCAGGGCTCCTCTCTTCCCTTCTACTTTCTGATCTTTCTCCTCTGGCGCCCACTCGGGGCTCTGGCCACACAGAGCCTACCTCAAGCCCAAAGACTGAAAAACAGGATGTTTTAATAAATACAAAAAATCTCTAATAAGGACTCTGCTCAGCTCAGGGGCAGCAGGAATGGTGTGAGGAAACCCTTGGTGCTGAGTGAGGATAAATTAAAAATCCCAAGAAGCCAGTGGTGTTCTGTATAGAAGAAAAGAGTTAGGTTTCTAGGACAGAGGCCAAAAGAAAAACTGGGCAGGAGTTCTCATGGATATGGCCTTGGCCCATCAGTCTTTCCCCTTGCAGAGTTGTGGTTCCCAGAGGTAGTGGAGGAGAGAAGCAGAACAGAGGCGCTAAAGGCACTGGGATTCCCACAGGAGAGTCGGGGTCCTCAGCACTGCTCCTTCTCCCAGCTCAGGCCCATCCTCTTGGTCATGTGGCCTTCTGGATGCTCCCTAGGAGCTCTCATCTTCTTTCTCCAGCTCTAGAAGTGTTTTAGTCTCAGAGGCTGCTGAAGACAGAAGGGGAGTGAATGTTGAAGGAGATGGGGAACTGGCTAGCCTGGAGGAAGACATGGGAGGCCGGGCAAAACATTTCTGCTCCAGTCCCAGAAAGGCCCAAATTGTCTAAGCAAGTCAGCACACCTGCAGAATCTTAGTGTAGCTGCTAAATTCCCCTGAGCTTCAGAAGTCTCATTTGTAAAGAAATGGCAGTAAGCGAGAAGTCTGGAAGGGCAGGCTGGGATCGCACTTATGAACTGACTCATGGTTCCCATCTCCGTGGGGGCCCCTCCCTCCCAGGCATCATACAGCCAGCCCACAGCAGCTGCCTTCACTTACACCTTTGGGTTGTGCAGCGGGAACAGCATTTACTCTCCTTCCCTGAGCCGCAGGACAGTGACCCCGAACAATCATCCCGCTCACAGTGGGGCACCCCTGCCTGGTGCAGGATGGAGAGATACTGAGGCACTGTATCATGGGACAGTGTAGTCCCTCTTCAGAAAAAGCCATCTCCAGGACTCTCCCTGAGAAGCTTTCCCTCTCCCAGGCCAGGCACATACTGCCCACCTCACACAAGTCCCCACTTACCCCACATCTGCAGGTAATACAGCTCATCTCCCCAAAGGGGGGCACTGATGGGTGCCAGCTCTGATTCTCTGGGAACCACTGCCCAGCAAAGCGACACCCCCGAGGCCCGTCAGCCTGCATGGGTCTCAGCTTGGCATGGGTCCCTGACCCTACTGTTAGGAAATGAAAGACAAAGTCAGTCCAGAAGGGTCAGCTAATTTTAACTTCTCTTTGAATCACTATCACCTAATAGTTTGTAGTTCTTAATAGGTGATAAACTTGGATGGATAGATGAGAGACAGATGAGTGAGTAGAAGCATGGATTACAGATGGGGTGGATAAATGATGATGGATGAGTGGATGGATGGGTGGATAAATGGTGATGGATGGGTGGGTAGGTGGAGGGCTGGGTGCTTAGATGGGTGATTGGTTGGTTTTTGGGTTGAGTGGATGGATAGATGGTTGGGTGAGTGGATGGATTACAGATGAAGTGAACAGATGATAAGGGATGGATGGGTGGATAGATGGATGGATGGATATATTGGTGGATGGGTGGGTGGGTGTAGATGAATGGGTGGATGGACAGTGGGTAGATTACAAATGGGGTGGATAGATTAATGGATGGATGGATGGGTGCATGGATGGGTGGATAGATACATGGATAGATGGTAGGTGGCTGGGTAGATGGATGGCTGGATAGGTAGATGGGCAGCTGGTTGATGGGACTGGAGCTCCAATCACTGCATACATGTATGTCCTTTCCACAGTTTTTGAGGCGCTAGCTCCAGGGTGCACATGAGCAGTGCTTGGTAAGTGAGAAGTATCTGAGAAGCTTCTTTTCCATCTTCATCATGCACCCCTCCACACGGGGCTGGGGCCTACCCAACCCTAAGGGTGAGGCCTCAATGACCAGGCCTCTCACCTGGACACTGTTTGCAGCAGTCGGTGGGGTTGGCGCGGACAGGCTGAGCACAGGCCAGGCGAGGACACTGCACCTTCTCACAGTGCACCTCTCCAGTGGCCCCCTGTGGGGACCCATCGAGAGAGGGTGTCAGGCAGAGGGGCACACGGTCCTCATACTACTTTCTCTCTCCTTTCCCCACCTTGAGTGAAATGTGTGTGTGGCCTTTCACTCAGAGGCCTGGGCTTGCTTTATATGCCTGAACTCAACCATCGTTGTATCTCATGAGGTACCGTGCCGCATTTGTACGCAGGAGAGGAAAGGGGAGCATAGGGAAGGTCAGAAGGCACCAAGGATCGCGTGAAGCCAGTCAGCTTTTTAGCCTCTCCTACAGGAAACCTGCTCTCAAACCCAAGGGACTGCCGCTCACAATAGCATCCTGAGGCCTCCCCACCAAGGACAGGCTTGCTCTCCAGGCAGCCCCCTCCCTCTAGGCCCCGGATGGGTTACCAGAGAAGACTGTGTAGTCTCACCTTGCAGGTGCAGACAGCACACTTAATTAAGCCAAAGGGAGGCACGACCGGGTGCCATCGGGTACCCGCCGCCCTCCAGCTCCGGTCGCCATCAAAATAGCAGCCTGGCGGGGAAGAGCACCAGCTGCCATCTGGACTGGTCTTGCCAGCAGGGCCCACAATCCAGCCTCAGCCCAGTCCCACACTAGCCTAAGCCAAGAACCAAAAGGCACTGAAGAGGACTGTCAGGTGTGCTGAGTCTGTGCACCTCAGCCGCCCCCATACACACACTCTGCTGCCCTCTTTTTTTTCCTTTGTTTTTCTTTCTTTTTCTTTTTCTCTCTCTCTTTTTTTTTCTTTTTTGGAGGGGGAGGATTCAAGACAGGGTTTCTCTGTGTAGCCCTGGCTGTCCTGAAACTTGCTCTGTAAACCAGGCTAGCCTCGAACTCGCTGAGATCCCCCTGCCTCTGCCTCCCCTGGTACTCTGTTGTCCTTTTGCTCCAACCCAACAGCTTCTTTGGCTCTCCCCACTCCTGGACCCACCCTCCTAGCTCACCCTCTCCTGGCTCCACATTTGGTAGCCTAGCAAGGACTCTGCTCCGTTGTTTCTCTGTGGAGACAAAGAAAGGGTGAGGCAGAAAGTGGCCTCCTGCTTCCCTCCCTAAAGCACTCCTTGCCCATGGCTGCCCCTCCACTACCTTTCCTCCCCTGCAGGACATTCACCTGGACACACAGGACAGCACTGGTCCAGTACCTGCACCGGGTGGGGACAGCTTGGTGGTGGGCATATTACAGGATCGCAGATCACTGTTCGTCTCTGTAGAGAGGGGCCAAGGCTTTGAGGGTGTGCTGGGCCCCTTGCCCCAGACCCTGTAGCTGACTGCATCTTACCCAGACATCCTACCTGGCAGGTGCAGAGTGAGCAGAGTGGATCATAGTTGGGTGCCCAGCGAGCCCCGTGGGGACGCTGCTGCCCCTCGAAGAAGCATGTGTTAGGGTCTAGGAGCCTCCTGGGGTTGCTATGTTTGGCTGGTCCTGGGGCTTCAGCGGGCTGCATGGTTGAGGTAGCTGCCTCTCCATTTGAAGCCAGGGACAACCGCACTTCCTCTGCAGCCAGGCGCAGACCTCCCGTCTCACACTGACTGGTGATGTGCACCTGGGAAGAGAGAGAAACTGAGGCCCGGCTGGGGCTCCCCTTCGCATGTCTATCACCCACGGCTGGTGGATGCCAGGAATGCCCAGGCAGAGGCTACTCCCTTTGGTGCTGCAAAGCTGGAGCGGGAGCCACCCTCCGTATGCAGCCGTGTGGCTTCATGTTTATCACTAGCAAGCATTTAATGCTATCACCTTCAGGCTCGGCGAGCGCAAGCAAGTGCACCGGCCCCACATACCTGCCCACGGAGTTCCCCTCTGGGGCTACTCTTGGTGGTGACCAATAGGGAGGCAGTGCCCTGCGCCAGGTGCCGCAGCAGCACGGGCTCCAGGTCTTTTACAACTCCCTGAGCCTGCAGACAGACCAAGACAGGGACGGGAAAGAGGCTTTAGGGATCTGTATCATCTCTATTTCATGTGTATGAGCATTTTGCCTGGGGCCCGCAGAGGCCAGAAGGAGGCATTGAATTCCTTATTGCTGGAGTTACAAATGGTTATGAGCTATGGAGTGGGTGCTGGGAACCGAAACTGGGTCCTCCACAAGAGCAGCCACAGTGCTGGGCCACCTCTCCAGCCCCACAAGGCACTTTAGAACAAATCCTACCATCCTCAATTCGCAGAAACAGACCCAAGAGATTAAGGTCTCTAAGATGGCCTTTCATAACAGAGGATTATCTCTGAGGCCAGGTCTTTCTGACTCCAAGTCCACAGCAGCACACACCATTAAGGGCATGTTGTCCATCCCTCCCACTTCTTTAGAGCCTTGGGGCCTCTGTCCTAGGGATCATTTAGAACACAGGACACAGAAAAGAAAATGCATAATCGAGGCTGAGTCAGATTTACACCTAGACCCGTCTGACACCTATGGCCATGGCTGCTTCATAATACCAGGCTGCCTGCCCTCCACACCCCAACCAAAGGCTCACACAGCCCTTCAAGCTAAAAAGCAGAAAAAAATTCAAGCTTTCTTCCTCTCTCTAAGGCCTTACCTCTGAGCCATAGAATCCCTTCAGCAGCCGCTGGGGCCCCGGCATCCCAGGAGGCCCGAGGAGGTGGGCGGTGACAGTGCCTTGCTCTGAGCCCCCAAGCCCAGCCAGCAGAATCTCATAGTGTAAGTGGCAATGCGTATCCAGGAAGAGCCAGGCATGCCCTGCTGCCTGGCTCCGCACAGGGGGCAGCACTAGGGCCCCCGCCAGGGGCACAGGCAGTCCTGAGTCCAAACAGATGAGAGGTAACAAGTGAGACTGTGCTGTTCCTCTCAGCCTGCCCCGTCTCAGACCCAGGGCCTGGGCAGCAGCAAGTCTTAGGTTCCTTGTACAATGGCAGCAGGAAGGGCTAGCCAGCAACAGCCAAGCTATGCATCCCCACCTCTCTAAAGTGCCAACCAGAACCCAGACAGAGGAAGACACACGAGGCTCTGGCTCTCTGACACTCTTCCCTAGATGCTTGGGTGGCAGGTCAGAGGACACAGAAGGACACTCACGGTCATAGCGGGCACTGTGTCCACTGTAGGATAGTGCAGTCACATGTCCCCGAAGCTCTCCCTCCGGGAAGTCCTTGGTGGCAATATTCAGGAACAGCTCGTTCTGCAGCAACATGTGAGCCCCTCGGGCGCCCAGCCCAGAGCAGATACCCTCGACCTAGGGGTTAGAGAAGGATGAGCCCTCTCAGCTTTCAGATTCCAAGCCCTTTCCATGTTTTACGCCTCCACGACACACATATATCTTTCCTCATGCCAATAACGCTGGCCAAGAGAACTTTGTAGGTCAAGTTTCAAAGCCTTCCTCTGCCACTTCCTAGACACACAACAACGCTTGAAGAGTTACTTATCTCTGAGCATTTACTTCCTCACCTATCAAAGGGTACTAATTCAAAAGAAGTCAAAAGAAACACATGAGCAAGGCAACCTGTTCCATGCCTGACACAAAAGACCCCTGAGTAGCAATCTGTCCTATCACGTGGCCTATAGCACTGTTCTCCCTGACTGGTGTCTGCTATTCAACTGTGAGCTTGCTGAGAACGAGGACAGGGTCCGAGCCTAAGGTTCACTAAAGTGTGTCGGATGAATAAAGGACTCGTTGAGAGAACCCGTGAGTGTGTGAACAGTACCACACACCCCTAATCAACCAACCTGGCTTCCCGCAGCCCATGTATTGGCAGCCCTGGCACAACTCTGCCTGGAGCCCTCACCATGTGTCCTCCCAGCTGAAGTCCAGCCATGTGGCACAGGACAGTGCGCTGGTCCTTCCGCTGAGGCTTGGTCTCCAGTGTCGTGGCCACCACCTCGCTACCTGTACCTACCACTTGCACCTAGTGGGCAGGGTCGGAGGAGGGCAATTGGATTGCCAGCCAAGAACTAGGGCCTTTCCCATTGCAGGTCAGGGCCCTGCCCTGCTGCCCTCCCTACCTCCTCCAGCCTTCTGACCCTTACCTGATAGATCAGAGATCCATTCCCTAGCAGAATGAAGCTGGCTGAGCCAGCAGCACCCGTCTGGACTGGGATCAGGGCATCGGCCCCACAAAGGACGCTTTGAAGGACTGCAGGGGGCAAGACAGGTTGGCAGCAGGCTTGCCCACACCCAGAACCCCAGGGGACTCTCCCACATCCATTTTGGCCTATCCTTCAGCACATGGTTGTGCTTCTGAGTTGTGCGTACCCGCAGCGCCAAGCCCCACCTTGCCTCACCATCACAGCTCTGCCTGGCAGTAATGTATCCGCTGATGCGTAGCTCTGGCCCGTCTGCCCCCTCGAGGGCCACCTGCAGCTCCCCCAGCACCAGCCAGTCCATCTCTTGCTCTGTAAGGCTGGGCAGCACCTCAGCAAAACCTGGCTCCTGGGAACAGAGCAGAAGGCGATGGGCAACAGCAAGCGGCCCGAGCAGGCGGCAGCGAGATCCAGGCCTTCCCATACCTGAGCTGAGGTGTTGGCCTGGAGCTCTCGAAGCAGCTGTCCCTGGTGGAGAATCTGAAGCTTCAGGGGGACCTGAGCTGGTTCTGCAAGGGCTGCACGTGTGAGCATCTCTGAAAGACAGGCGCCCTCCCTGTGCCCTCACCTACTTCTTCCCCAATACCTACCTCCATTGCTGGGGCCCAGAAGACCCCGGAAGAGCAGCAGAAAATGTAAGGAGTCTTCCGTGTCGCTGAGGGCAAGCAGGGCTATGCCTCCCACACCCCGCTGCTGCGGGTCTTCCAGGGTCAGGATGGCACTGAAGGTCTCTGGGGAATGACAGCCATGAGGAGATCCTCTCTTCAGTCCACCCACCCCTGGGATAGAGAAGGCTCGGCTCCTTATATCCGAGAACTGCTCACTCCCTCTACCTGCTGTGAGAGCCCCTTGCCAAATGAGAGGCCCCCAGACTTCTCCTGAAGGATGAGTAGGGGTCACGAGGGCTACATGCAGCTGCTCTGCCCTCAGGAGCCTCACAGACAGCCGAGGTACTGCCCTCCACACCCCGCAGACCTAGAGGGAAGGGCAGTCAGTAGGCAGGACAAGCCAGCTAAGGGACCTGAGGAAGGAGTATGGAAGGGAAACCCCAGACCCTCCTAAGAAGGACCCAGGAGCCTGGAGTTTAAGTCCAGGCTTACCGCTTACTAGCCTAATGACCTTAAACAAATCACATTCCGCTATTCTGAGCCTCAGTTCCCTCCTCTTTAAAATGGGCATCATCATCCCGCGGCCTTTCTCCCACTGGGCCGTTGTGAGGACCAAAGGAGGCAATGCAAAGCATGCTCTCAGCCAGTGCCCGCTTTGGATAAGCACTCCTAAATGGCATCATCTCACCAGGCCATCCTGGGTGGGGGCTGCAGAGTGCTCGAACAGGATGTTGCCCGTGGGATCTGTGAACCGAACTCTGCTGGGGCGGTCCAGACTGTGAAGACAGGTCCAGTGAGACCGGATCTAGAACCTACAGGTTCCTCTTTTCTGGAGAGTTAACTACTCTCCAGTCCCTGCTCTTTCCCCGGTCTCACCGCTGGTAGGAGATAGAGAAGCGTAAACTTGAGCGCAGCAGAGAGACTCGGGCACGAGCTACCGCCTGCGACCTCGGTCCTGTCAGCAACGCCACGAAGTCTTCAAGAAGAGAAGAAGACTGTCAACCCTTGCCGCCGGCCCCGAACGCCACCCAGCCCACCGCCACCCCAGCCTACCCGTGTGGCCGTCAGCACGTGTCCGCTCCCCAGCGCCAGGTTCCCCTCGGTCGCTGTAACTGCGGTGCTCCGGGTCCCTTGGATACTCGAAGACTAGGCCAGCGGGCTGTCCCTCTAGAGTGCTGCGCTCTACATCATAAGGACCGCTGGCTTCAGTAGGGCACCCAGAGGACCAGTCCGCCTCCGCGATCCAAGCCCCACGGAACCCAGCGCTGGAGCCATCCACTACCCTCCCTAACGCGGGGCAGGCACGGCGGGCCTCACCCTGCGGGCAGGTCTGGCAGCAGTGTCCTGGCAGCTGGCGCGGCTGCCTGCAGGCCAGGGTGGGGCACTGGGGTTTGATGTTCTTGCAGCTGACCTTGCCAGGGCCCCTCCCACGGCGAGCCCACTGAGGCTGAGGGCAGAGAACACAGGAAAATGAAGTGAGTGCAACCATCAGACCCCTCGGCTGGAGCCAGTCAACTCTACTATTTACAAGTTACACCGCCCCGACAAGTTTCTTAACTCCTCTGAGCCCTGGCGTCCCTGTCTGCAAAGCAGGGCTAATAATGTCATTTCTCTAGCAAGGTTGTAACGGGAGGTGGGGGGGGGGGGGAGCTGGCTGAAAGCCAGTCGCAGAGCGGACGATCAATAACTGTCAACACGGCAGACTTGAAAGGGGTTTCCTCCGATGAGGACCAGCCTTCCCCCGAGCATCTTCGAGTCTGCTACGGCTCCGGGACGCCAGCGTCCCGCTACCCTCTGGGGTAAGGCAGGCAGCCGCGGTATCCACTCACCGCTTCACAGGCGCACAGCACGCAGCGCATCACCCCAAAAGGCTCCCCCAGGTCCGGGTGCCACGTCTCGTCCAAGGCATAGACCTTCCCGCCGAAGGAGCAGCCTGTGGGGACGGGCTTGGCTGGCGGCCGCTGTCCGGTGGCTCGTGCCGTAATGCCTGCTCCGGGCTCTGCCCGCCAGGCCTAGGGTCCCTTGGCACCGTGCGCCTCGCCACCTCTGCTCACCCCTCCCGCCCTCCCGCTGCGCCGAGCCACCTGCGCCCGGGGCCCTCTCCCGGTGGGTGCAGACTTGCCCCGAGCCAGACTCCCCTCCCGCGCCTCCCTCTGGCGCCCACCTACCTGCCGCTTCCCGAAGGGGCAGCGGCGTCTCCTTCTCGGGACGGATGGGCAGCGTTGGGGTCTCAGGGCCAGTGCCACCGGCCCGGCGCCAGCCGAGCAGCAGCAGCCCGAGGAGCAGCCGCGGGGCCGGCGGGGCCGGGAGGCTCGGCATGACGCGGAGCGGACAGCTGGGGAGGCGGGCGGGAGGAGGGAGCAGGAGAGGGAGTAGGGCCGGACCGGAGGCGGGCCGGCGGGAGGGGGCCGGGGGCAGGAGGGGGCCGGTGGCGAGGGGCTCGTCTCGCAGTCGCCGAGTCCGCTCCCGGCCGGGCGGGGCGGGAGAGCGCGGGCGGCTAGGCGCTGACCCGGGCCGTACGCCGCTCTAGTGCCCTAGGCGCCGACTCTGGCCCGTTTTATGCCCGCGCCAGGCGTCCCGGCCCGGGGCCTCCTCCTCAACAAAACGGGCGCGGCGGCGACTCCACAAGGAGCCCGCCTGAGCCCGGGGGGTCCGGCCCAGCAGCAGCGGCCGGATCGCGAGTGGGGGAGGGGGACAGGCTGGGACCCGGCAGGGGAGGAGGGAGGGACTGGAGGAGGGGGGAGCCAAGTGGGCAGGGGGAAGGGAGGAACCAGGGGGCGCAAAGAGGGGGAGGAGAGGCGGGCCTCGACACCCCCCACACACACTCCTTGCGGCCACCCCTGGAGGTGGTGTCCATCCCTCTACCGGAGCCTCAGGCTAATGAACCGCAGAGGCTGAGCCTCCGGCCTGTACCAGTCATGAGCGGGATGGACCGCTGGAGGATGAAGACTTGTCTTTGAAAAGGACAACCAACCATCTTCCTCTGCCTAGGACCCACAGTACCCCTTTTCTTTCACTCTGCCTGTATCCCTAGTTCCCTTTCCAGGTCTCTCCCTTTTCTGAAGTTTCCAGGGACAGGGACTAGCCAGAATCAAGCAGGGCTTCCCCCTGAGTAGAGTAATACCCCCAACCTGTTCGCATGTCCATCCAGCTATCACCTCTGGCTTTCCACCCTTTCCCTTCATCCGAAGGACCATCCCTCTTCCTCTCCGGCTCATTCCCCACCTCCTTTGTCCTGCTTTTCTAGTCATGCCTCCCCATCCCTTCCAACCCCCACCACGCTTCCCACTCTCCCGGAGCTAGGCTAGGTTTCCTAATCTTAGGAGGCATCTCTTATTGAACTGGAGAATTCCGGGATCTGGGCCATACTCTCTTTAGTAGACAGCCCATCCTCAGAGTAGGCGCAGGAGAAAGCCTGAGGAAGAACAAGGGAGAGAGGACAAGGGCAGGCCAGGAGGTCCCTGAGGACAGAAACTGTGGGGAGACAGGGACTGCGGAGGAAGCATGGGAGCTAGAGCCAGAGCTAAAGGGAGAAAGAGAGGAGGCAGTGAAGAGGCATTTGTGGGGGAGGCTCAGCAGCTGTCTTTCCTAAGACAGGGACAGATGGGCCTGGTTATTTCTCTTGTCACAAGTATTGCAGTAGGAATGGAAGAGGACCACTGAGCAATAAAGGGCAGGCTTGCCCACCGAGCTACCTGGGTTTAGCTAACCGGTTCCCTGTGCCCCCAGTAGAAAGAAGGATACCTGAGCCCAGCCAATCTGTCTGTCTTTCTTTGCTTCTTTAAGCAAGTTCTCATTAGGTAGCCCTGGCTGGCTCAGAACTCACTAGGTAGACCAGGCTAGCCTCAAACTCACAGAGATTCACCTGCCTCTGCCTCCCAAGTGCTGGGATTAAAGGCGTGCCTTTTGGGCCTAATCCTAACCAAACACATACCCCTTCACTCCCCAGGTCCCACAAACTGTCCATACCCTCTTTCCTATAACATGACCATTTTCTAATATAGCCAACACCTAAATTGACAGTAGGAAAAGGGAAATGCCAGGAAAAACTCTCTCTTGGGCAAGGGAGTATGGTAGGAAAAGCAGGAGAGCTAGAGTGCTGTAGGATTTTGGCAGCAAGTTTAGTGTTGAGAAAAGTGAAATTTGGAGAGCCAGGAACTGAAGCTCCATCAATCTAAAACAAGACCTCTCTTTCCTGGGGACAAATGTATTCTGACTAACCCTCTCCTTCTCTCTCTCTCTCTCTCAAGCAGGTCCCAGGTACTTACGTCCCCAGGACATGACAGTTCCCCCTACATGTGTGGGTGGAGGAGCTGGACTCCATTCATGGACCATGGTCCAGGCAGGGGCTCCAGTTCCAGTAGGTAGGAAAAGAAGTCGTCATTTCCGGGGCCTTCACCAGGGCTTGATGGCTCTCTGCTCTCTGATTGGGCGGAAGTGGCCTGGGCAGGCTTGTGACCCTACAGCCAAGGAGGGGCTGTACCCCAGCCAGTGTCTTCCTACCTACCTGCTCCCCAGAGCGCTGCCTGCTGTGCACCTGGCTCCTGGAGCCCTTCTCCACCTGTGAGTGACAAGCAAGGTTTGGGGTTAAGTGAGGGTATGGTATGAAGAACAAAAAAAGAACTGGGCTCTCAGCTGGGGGAGGGGCAAGCAAACTGGAACCTACAGGCACTGACCTTTGTCAAGAAGAGTGGAGCCTTCCCAGAATGGGAGGAGCGGGACAGAACAGGGAAAGGGGGTTGGGTAACGGGGTTTATGAGGGACTATTCACAGACTTGGTAGAATCCGGAATAGCCCCGGCTGCCTCTAGTGCCACGAGAAAATAAGAAGAGAAGTGCATGTAAGGGCTAAAGAACTTTATCCTAAGGGACATAATCCTAATCCCCATCCTTGTAGGGTCATTCTTGTTAGCTTAAGGTTCTGAATCCTGGGACTGGGGAAGCTGGGTCAGGTGAGCCAGGGCACAGAAGAGTGTAATGGGAGGGGGTGGGGGCTGTGAATGTTGACAGACCTACAGGAGATCCCAATATTGAATCAGGTGCAGATCTCTTTGCTCAACTTGTGAAAAGTGGGGGGCCCATGAAGGGACTGGAAGGGCTCTGGAGTGGGCAGGGAAGCAGATGCAGCTGAGAGAGACACATTGGCAGTGTCTGAGGTAAAACAAGTCATGTGAAGTAGGCATCATTTTGCTCTGTAAGTGCCTCACCCCAGGCCAGTTGCATCGGGAAGGAAGTCCTAGTACTATTTAGCCCTTTGATGTAAATAACGGAGCATTTCAGAACTTGAAGGTCCAAAGGAGAGTCTCAGGTTTTATGTGTGGAGCAAACAGGGAAAGAATGAGAAGCTAGTGTCTCTTTTAATTCCTGCCTCTGCTGGTCTGTTTTCTCTTTACCCAATCTCCTGCCTCAGCCTAACACCAGAGCCGTTCCTCGACACATATGCCCCTCTGCTGCTTCCTCTTCTTAGTCTGACAGCCCATTTTCCACTCTTCTCTAGACTTGCACAACACTTCCCTTCTCTATTCCCATCCCACATTCTCTCCCAGCTAACAACAAACGTTGCTCAGAATTCAAACCCAATTAAGATGTGTATGTGTATGTCAAGTCTTGATGCTCTCAGCAGGGCGACGATGTGTAGACAGGGCTCCAAGACCACATCAGAGTCACTGAAGAGCCTTGACAAAGAGGAGATACTACACGCTTCAATCACAAGAAAACATGGGAGCAGTTGGAAAGCTAAGAGCTCTGGCCTTCGCTGGCCAGCAACTCAAGGCCTCCTAGGATGTGTTTTCCATGCCAGGCAGTCTTCCTTGAAACTTGATGAAAGAGTCACTATCTCTGTCATTTTTCAAGATAGATTCCTCGGCCCACCTGTGCCCCACCCAACTCCGTGCAGAAGTGCAAAAGGTCAAGCCGCCTCCATGGCCCCGGGAAAGATTCAGGGGAGAGGCCCCATCCAGGGAGCCCCTCCAGCCAGACACCCTGGCCAGAATGGAGCTGACTGGTAAGGACACACTAGGAGCTAGGAACAAGTTCAAGAACGGCTTGGCAGGATGGGGGTGGGGACAATGCCACGGGAGCAGAGGGTTGGGAAACCCAGCCTCCCAAAATGAGGTGTCTGTCTGGACACCGACCCCTGGATTTCAGGTCTGGCTCCCAGATGGGAACCCCTGAGTCATCACCTGAGAATGATTTTCTCCTACTCGACCCTTCAACCTCACTTCTCCTCATCTAAGATTTGCTCCTGGTGACCATGCTTCTCCTCACTGCAAGACTAACTCTGTCCAGCCCAGTTCCTCCCGCCTGTGACCGCAGACTCCTAAATAAACTGCTCCGTGACTCCCATCTCCTTCACAGCCGACTGGTGAGCACCCCCAAGCACGACTTCTACCCATTTAACTGCTAAGGCGCCTCACGCCTTCCCTTCCTTTCACCCCCAGCTGTCTTTGGCGAGACCATCCTGTCTCAGCCCTGGTAGGGGCTACAATTTGCATTAGAGTCTCTTAGAAGGTCTAGCATAAACATGGTACTGAGGAAGACCACCTCAGGCATGGGCCACCATCCTGACGTCTGTTTCATCTTGTTTTCTTAACAGAGTCAGTGCCCTGACATTAACCCTTTGTCTACACCCATCCTGCTGCCAGCTGTGGACTTTAGCCTCGGAGAATGGAAAGCCCAGACGGTAAGGGGCATCCATGGACCTCACACATGCAAGATCTAGACTGAGGCAAGATGCTTGCCTTGACTGTGAGGCCAGCCTAGGTTGTATTATGAGTTCCAGGCCAGGCTGGACTACGAAGGGAGTCCCCATCTCAAAAAAGAAAAGAGAAAGAGAAAGAGAAATCTCTTACCTTGCTGTCCCTAAATCCTGTCATCATCAGATCCCTACTGCTCCTCAGTTTTTTTTAATTCTTGAGTTCCTTACAAATGTCATTTTCAGTTTGGCTACCCTAACCCAATTTACATTCACCTATGATGAGATCTTGAGGAAGCAATGGCAAATTTCTAACCAATATATCAAGTAGGCTGGGCATTGTGGCTTTAATCCCATGCCTTTAATCTCAACACTCAGGAGGCAGTGACAGATTTCTGTGAGTTCAAGGCCAGCCAGTGATAAGACTCTATCTCAAATACATACATACATATACATACATACATACATACATACATGTATATTTGAAACTGAATACCATTAGAAGCCTCTCATGGTCTCATGGTCATACCTTTGATCTATTCTTATTCTTGTTCAATCTTTTTTTTAATGTGCATATATATATATATATATCTTTGGTCTATTTTCTGTATATATATATATATATATATATATATATATATATATACAGAATATATATATGCTATGGTATACATACGGAGGTCAGAGTACAATTTGCAAGGGTCATTCTCTCCTTCTGAGTCTCAGGGATTGAAGGTAGGTTATCAGGCTTGGCCACAAGCACCTTTGCTCTTTGAGCCATGTCAAAATCTTCTTAATCTTCTTCTTCTTCTTCTTCTTCTTCTTCTTCTTCTTCTTCTTCTTCTTCTTCTTCTTCTTCTTCTTCTCCTTCCCCTCCTCCTCCTCCTCCTCCTCCTCCTCCCTCTTCTTCTTCGTTTTTTTGAGATCCAGTTTCTTTGTGTAGCCCTGGCTGTCCTAGAACTTGCTCTGTAGACCAGGCTAGCCTCGAACTCAGAGATCCACCTGTCTCTGCCTCCTGAATGCTGGGATTAAAGGTGTACACTACCACCACCTGGCTTCCTCAACCTAGCCATGAAGGAAGTCTGATCTGCTGTCCACAAGTGGCACAAAACAGAAAGTACCACTAAATTGAGGCAAAATCAAGATTCAAATCCTTGCTGGGCATGGTGACACAGACCAAAAATCCCAGCAACTCAGAGGGTGGGGCAGAAAGGTGAGGAGCTGCAGAGTAGCCTAAGCTATATAGTGAGACCTTGTCTCAAAATTAATTAAATGATAACAAAATTAATAAAAAGGAAAGCTAAGCCGCACGTGCCTATACTACCTAGAATCTCCTTCCTTTTCAAGTCTCCTCGGGGTCCTGGGTCTGAGTTTGTAACAGGGTCTTCACTATGTGTCCCAGGCTGTCCTTGAACTTGTGATCCTCCCTGTCTCCCCCCCCCCCCAAAGTGCTGGGATTACAGGCACGTGCCATCATACCAAGCTCTTCCATTTCTTAAGTCCCTTCCCTTCATCTTCACAGTTATGGCTATAGCTTTGTTCCTACATTTAGATTAGAAGTGCTGTCGGCAACAGTTTTGTAGCAGAATGAATAGGCTTGTAGCATTGCAGTCTAGGGCTAAAAACTGCCATAAGGCGAAGTGGCTTTCCCACTAAGAGTCCATGCAAGATCAGGCTAGGCAGATGGACGCTGGGGTTACTGAAGCAGAGGCCAATGGCCAGTTGTTAGGAGACTCTAAAGGAATTCCTGGGATGGGTGGGACCCTCATCCTGTCCAATTCTCGGCTCCTATGATTCATCCTGCTGGCTACTCCTATGGGCTCCCCACCCATTATTAGCACGTTTTTGAAGCAGTCCACTTTTCTCCTCTTTCCCAGGAACAGTCCAAGGCACAGGACATTCTAGGAGCAGTGACTCTTCTCCTGGAGGGAGTGATGGCAGCACGAGGACAGTTGGAACCCTCCTGCCTTTCATCTCTCCTGGGACAGCTTTCTGGGCAGGTTCGCCTCCTCTTGGGGGCCTTGCAGGGCCTCTTAGGAACCCAGGTAAGTCCCCAGTCAAGAGACTTAAAGAAAACACCCTCTTACTCAGTCCCTCTAAAGACCCGGGGGAGAAAAGGGATTCTAGGGACCTTCAGTGTGTGAGTGCTGCCTCTCAGCCCTAATACCTGGGTGCTGGCAATGAATCTTTTCTCCTCAGTCAGGAAAGGCCTGCTATGTGGGCCTGCTCTCTGTCCTCAGGCCCATCCTCTGCCCTCAGCTTCCTCCACAGGGCAGGACCACAGCCCACAAGGATCCCAATGCCATCTTCTTGAGCTTGCTACAACTGCTTCGAGGAAAGGTGCGCTTCCTGCTGGTAGTAGACGGCCCCACCCTTTGTGTCAGACGGGCCCTGCCCACCCCGGCTGTCTCCAGCAGTACCTCTCAACTCCTCACACTAAACAAGCTCCCAAACAGGACTTCTGGATTGTTGGAGACAAACTTCAGTGTCGTAGCCAAAACCACTGGCCCTGGACTCCTGAACAGGCTTCAAGGATTCGGAGCCAAGATTATTCTCGATCAGCTAAATCAAACCTCCAGGTCCCCAGGCCAAATCCCTGGATACCTGAACAGGACACACGGAACTGTGAATGGAACTCACCGGCTCTTTGCTGGAGCCTCACTTCAGACCCAGGAAGCCCCAGACGTTCTGCCAGGAGCTTTGAACAAAGGCTCCTTGCCACTCAACCTCCAGACTGGACATCCTCCTTCTCCAACCCATGCTCCTGACCGACACACTCTCTTCTCTCCTTCACCTACCTTGCCCACCCATGGGTCTCCACCCCAATTCTACCCCCTGGTTCCTGACCCTTCCACCACTATGCCTAAATCTACCAGTCCTCATCCAATCGCAATGTACCCTCATTTCCAGAATTTGTCTCAGGAAGCATAAGGACCAACCACAGGCACAGCCAGCGCCTGTAGCATCTCTCGGGGACAAGCCTTCCCCAACAGAGGCTCTGAGAGGCAACTGCAGCTACATGTCCTGCTTTCACCTGGAACCCAAGGCCCTGGGAAAAAGATACACAGGACAGGACATCGTAAAATTTTAGGAACTATTTTTTTTTAACCTATCAGCAATATTCATCAGAGCAGCTAGTTATCTTTGGTCTACTTTCTGTATAAATTTGAAAAATAACAAATTCTCTATATGTGCTTTCATACAATAATTCTGCAAGTACCTAGACTTGATCTAGCCTTTTAGAGGAGGCAGAGAGTAATACTGTGTGAGAAAACAAAAAGAAAAGTTTCCTTTGCTTAAGGGCCCCCAATGTCCTCATTTCCTTCACTATAATTCTCAGTGAGAATATTTGGTCCTCAAGAGATACTGCTCTTGATAAAGGAATAGCAGTTTACCTCTTAGAAAGGCTGTCCCTATATAAAAACCAAACTGAGCCTGTAAGAGAATAAACGAGAGCATCCAAAAGCCAACTAAAAACCAAGGGACTGATGTTCTTCAATGGGACAATAGCGCTCCTGGACCTACCTCCCGAGAAAGCTAACAGGAAGCCTGGGGAACTCCACACCCCAGGTAAGGCTGTGCAGATGGTTCGGTAAAGACTAGACCTGGATGCAGCAGCTGAGCAAACAGCTAAGCGCATCAGCAGCTCAGCAGGGGCTTAGCCAGGCCTGGGCTCCTGCTTCCCTCCTGTGGAGGTCAGACGGAAGTGCAGGAAGTGGCAAGAGTCAGGCTCCATACCTCACACAGCAGGACAGACGCAGAGCAGTTGAAGGCTCTTTCTAACTTCCACAAATGCACCTAAAGCACAGCTTTGTGTGACCACCATGAACTCTAATGGGAACCCCAAGAATGAAGGCAGACTTCTGGGGTTTTGCAAGGAAGTGCTTTGTTGGTGTCAGAGGTTTACTTTGCCACAAACAAACAAACAAACAAAAAAAAAAACAACAACGAAACAGTATTGCCGAGGGTCTACCTGCTATTGCCAGGGTCTGAGCTTTTCCTCTGTCCTGTCCTAAAGTAAAGAAGGAAAGGCTACCATGTAGGTACAGCGGCTGGGATCCCACAGTTCCTGCCACACACAAAAAGGCAAGGGAGAGGTGTTCCTCACCGAGGCAACAGATGTCCCAGAATCATCCTACAACTCTGCACAGTAGGTATTATCCATCTCTGCGTTACACACACTACCCCAAGGCCAGACGGGCTTCCCAGTGGTCACATAGCCTTGAGGCAGAAAGGGACACCCGGTCCAAGTCTCAGCCCACGCATCTACCTAGTACTGTGCGCAGTGACATGTACTCCAGTGAATCTATTTAACAGAAACTTCCAAGCCCTCCGAGACTAAATACTCTTAAGTTCTGAGGAGACCAGAGCTGGTGGGGATTCGACCCAGACATCCTCTCTAGGTGTCCACGAAAAAGGATCAACAGAGGCACAGAGCTAAAAAAAATGTTACCAAAATCAGACCGTGTCAGTTCTATATGACAGAACTTCATCTACTAATTCTAGAATAACATAATTTGTAAGTTGTTATAACACTAAAAGGAGTTAACCTTAACATAAAAATAAATAAATAAATAAATAAATAAATTAGGGCCAGTGAGATGGCTCAGTAGAAGCGCTTATTGTATGAGCCTGATATGAATTGATACCTGGAACACATACAAAAGAAGTAACTCCCTGAAGTTGCCTTCCAACCTCATTTACACATGCTATCACACACTGACTCCCACACTTGCACATACACATCACACATACAAACAAATGACAATAAATAAAATAAAATTTAAGGTTAAAAAAAAAAAAGTACTGGACGCCACAGTAAATGCCTGTAAACCCAGCGTTGGTAGGTAGAGGGGCAGGAGGATCAGGAGTTCAAGACCATCTTCAGCTACATTAGGAGTTTAAGTCCAGCCTGTACTACAAAAGACTGTATCTCAAAAATTAATTTTGTGGCAGGGACCTAGCTCACTAGTAGAGCCGTTGCCTAGCACTCATAAGCCCTGGGTTGATTGAACCCTCTTGGCAATCCTCTTGGCACGCACATGCACACGCACACACACAAAAATCAAGCCAACCACTTTCCAGCACATAAGAGCTGGCACACCCAGAACTAGACAAGCCAGAGACCAGAGACTGTAGGTTCTCAGCAGTCAGATGACAAGTGAGGGTGCTGAACTGCAAAGGCAGCCAAAGTTCCAGGCATCTGATACCGGCAAATCTGAGTAATTGGTTTCTACAGTGTAAACCTATCTGCCTTCTTAAGAGTCAGCACTTTGTGGGTTGAAGCACAAGAATCACAAGTTCAAGGTCATCCTTGACTATACAAGTTTCAGGCAGGCGGCACTTCAGACACCGCCTTTAAAACATAATTTTTTTACCTCACCAGGAGCTCCAGCTCAGCGACTGTGACATTTGCTGGCCTTGGGTTTGGTTCCTGGACCGTCAAAACCAAAGCCAATCACCATTTAACGACCAGTCATTCTGTGTAGCTGAGTCCATCACTTCCTCCCAACCACACACCCAAAAGAAGAGTATGCTGGCAAGATGGCTGAGCGGGTAAGGGTGACTGACTCCAAGCATGACAAATGTGTTCAATCTCTGGGACCCACACGGTACTGGAGGGGCTCCTGAAAGATAGCTTCTCTGTGACACGCACATACAATAAAACAAAACAATGCTGGGGGGGGGGAGTGCTTACAAGCAGAACATGCTTCTATTTAAGCACCTCCTTTCTCTCTTTGCTGGCCAGGAGTCTACTGTGACAGCGACCTTTTACCACTGATGAGGGTCTCCCATCCTAATCCATCTTTCTTCAATCCCTCAAAAACATTACTCCATGGGATGACTGATTCATCCCAACCCCCAATGTATCACACCCACACAAACACACACACATTCACACACCCTACCGTGGAAGCTGAAAAAGCCACCTTTGTTCCTCCCTGCTGAGGCCGCAAATTTTCAACCAGTTTCCCTAAACACTATTTCTAACACCTCTTGCAAAGAGCAAAAAATGATGGGAAGGAAACACCCCAGGCATCCCAGCAGGAAGAAACCAGCTCCTGTGACAAACCCAGAACTGTAAGAGATGAGGGTGTGTGTGTTGGGGCTGGGGGGGGGGGAGGTCGGGGGAGTCCGGGTCTCCCACAGCAAACAGGCTCGGTTGGTAAAGAAGCATGTCTTAACAATCTGAGTAGAGACGAGAGGAGACGCTTGCTTGACAATCTAAATTCAATCCTCAGGATCCAGATGGGGAAGCATACACACACACACACACACACACACACACACACACACAGGGAGGGGTGGAGATATTCCTCTGTAAAGCGGAAAGGTCCTGGTTTAGAGAACCAGCATTTCATAAACGATGTATGATACAATCCCAGAAACTGAGGAGGCATTGGCAGGAAGATCAAATTCAAGGCCTTCATGGGCTACAAAGCAAAAGCAAAACCCAACCCCCAATAATGGAGAAGAGTCTGAAAAAGTAAATTTTAATAAAAATTTAAAAAAAATCATATACAAGCTTAGGTTCATATTGAGCTCTCCCATTTGGCCTTTTACATACAGGTCAGTTTTCCAGTGATTTCACACACTGAAGATGTGCCCACAGTGGACACATAGCCAAGGCCCTGTCACAGGCGAGCACCAACAGCCTCCCCGAGAGCTTGAACAATGTCCATGACTTGAGTGACTCAGCAGCCTGCTTTCCCACGAAGTTTAGAATGCCAGCTTCTTCATCAGCAGATAAACTCTGGAATCCACTTCAAATCCATGTAGGTTGTTGGCATCACCCTGAAGCCTCATGAGCAGGCCCCCATAAGACACATATGCAGAGCTGAAACAGAAGGTCCCTTGTCCTGAGTCTGAGCTCAAAGCAGCCACTTCCCAGCAACTCTCTCCACCCACCTGTGTTTTAGGGTAATTTCCTAGGATTCTGTCATTAGGACAAAAGTGAATGGAAACATGCACAGTGCAGTGTTGTTTACTCTAGTGGAGGAGTAAATGCCACTGCGCCCAGAACTACGTGAGTAGACACACAAATAAAGGTATCACCATTCACTGCAATGTTATACAGCTATTGGACTGTTTAGGTAGGAGCGGGAGAGATGCATCACTCAGCCTTAAGATCACTAGCTGTTCTTGCAGAATGCGGAAGAACCTGGGTTCACGTCTTAGCACCCACATGGCATCCCACAACCTCTACAACTCCATTTCCTAGAGATCCAGTGCCCTCTTCTGAACTTGACTCACATGCAGCTCCTCAGGCTCCCAGGAAGGAAGGAAGGAAGGAAGGAAGGAAGGAAGGAAGGAAGGAAGG